GAAAGAATGAATGCCAAAAATAAAATCGAAGCGTAGATCACCAATGCATGACAAGACAAATATAACTGAAAATGACACACAATTCACACACCACTCCTAGGGTACGCCTCACTGTTGCCTTGCCCCTCGAAAAGTGGTCGTCGAGTATAGGACGTTTTAGTAAGTCCTTATGTCCATGAACATGGCATAAGGGTAGCTTCTAAGGTGTCCTACTATTGCTCTGGTGACCACACTGTTGCCTTGCCCCTCGAAACGTGGCCGTCGACTATAGGACGTCTTAGTGAGTCCTTATGTTCCATTGATCTAGTTGCCTCGAAACGGTTGCCTCGGAACAAGTTGCCTCGGAATAGTTGCCTCGGAATAAAAGATCAATGGCATAAGGGTAGCTCCTAAGGTATCTTACCGTTGCTCGGTGACTACACTGTCCCTACAAACGAATTGACCCGAACACCTCCAACGGTGGTGCTACCTATCTCTCAATGGTGGGATGGCACTATCTTAAGAACATTTACACAGACGAATTCCTTAGGGTAGGTAGATGACTCGTAGATACTTGCTCTAATTCAAAACAAATCAAAAACTTCTTTTCACACTGACACTTTGCAAAAAGCTTTCAAAAACAACTTTTCAAACACTCTTGAGGACTGATACAAGAGTCGATCTGAAACTTTCAAAGAAACTTTTTCAAACCCACTATGAAAAGCAAACAAACATTTTTGAAAACACAAATGAGCAAGTATCTAAGAGCCCATGGATAACCATGGATAGAATGGGTGCTAACACCTTCCCTTTCTATAAATCTACCTCCCGAACCGAGAACTAATCTCAATAAGGAATTGTTCTGTGCTTTTGTCCTTTCCATTTGGAGAAAATAAAAGACGGTGGCGACTCTTACTTACCGCGACATTTCGCGAACCAGCGTTAAAACAGTCAGTTCCAGACCCACCGATCACAGAACTGGCGACTCTGCTGGGGATAACTTTAAAGTGAGGTGTACCTTAGGATAGTTCATAACTGTGTTTTCAATTGCTTTGACTTGTTTGCTTTATCATTATAGGACTGTCTTGGGAGTTACATAGATCCTAACCCGGATCTGGGGATACCCTATTTAGGTAGCATAAGCTGTGAAGGACCTGTCCAGCGTAGACCGACATGGGTGAAGCAGTGGCTACATTGGTGTGGCACCTTGGTCTGTACCGATATCCCTTGTGTTGCAACGAGGAGAATATGGGTCTTCTGAGGAGTCATTAAGCACCAACAGACCTTAGAACCTTAAATGACACAACTTGGCCAATAGAACAGTAGCAGTATGCTACGCCCATTGAGGCTAAACTCTCGTGATGGTTCTGGCCGCAAGAAAAGATTGCGATGCTGGAGTTATGACCGATTGAGCGTAGTCAATGATATTGGGATCCTCTAAGAACCCAGTTACTTCTGATAGGACATGTCTTAACCAACAAACTAAAAGAGGGTAATACCTAGACCCCATGCTGGCCTAAACTCTAAGGGCTTCTCTTGTGTGACTTGTGTGCCTTCCAACTTGACTACTTGCATGCTTGTTATCTGACACTTGAGTTTCTTGCATGTTTTGTTTATAGTCCTTAACTGGGGCTCATAACAGGGTTTACTGAGTTTCTTGCAGGTTTTGTTTATAGTCCTTAATTGGGGCTCATAACAAGGCTTACTGAGTTTCTTGCAGGTTTTGTTTATAGTCCTTAATTAGGACTCATAACAGGGTTTACCTACGTTACCCCATGCATAGCATAACATCATACCATTGCATACATCCCGCATAAGGACTAATCCGTTTCAAGGATCTCAAGGGCTTGTGATGCAGGTCATGATAAACCAACTATCCAGCAAGGGGAAAAAGGGGATTTATTTTCCTCTAGCCAAGGTTGTCAGGGGCTATGACCCACTGGATATGGTGAGCCTTTGACCCTTGAAGAAGGACTCTCAACAACATGAAGTTCCTTCAATCAAGCTACCAATTCAAATGCTAACAATCTTCTCGTTTACCCTGCGAGGTCCTTGAAAACATTGCATACATATCATACATATCATTGCATTACAGGTACCCTCTGTACAGGTCACTTACCTCCTCCGCTGTTTATTTCAGCAATGGCTTCCCAACAATACAACCAGGACTTCCATGCTCAAGAGACTCGGTTCGGGGAAATCCTCCTGAATCTATCCAAGGGGCAGGAGGAGTTGAGAGCATTTCTCATGGGAACTTTGGTCAGGAACAATGCTGAGGATGAACGGCTGAAACACCTGCAAGCTGAAATGGATACAATGAAAGCCCAGATGCTGGGGCAGATGACTATCATTCAAGGCTTAGCTCAAAGACAAGAAGAGCTCGGGGTTCTAGTCAACCAACTGCTTCGGGGTAACCAACTGGGGCAAACATCTAAGGGTAAAGAGCCAGTCATCATTCAACCACCTTCGAGACAAGGGGGTAAGGGGAGAGCTCCTCAAATGGCTTCAGTGCCACGAATTCAGCATCAACCTCACCAGCTTCAGCCAGAAAAGCCCAGGAGGCAATTCACCCAGCTCAACATGTCGCTGTTTCAAGCTTTACAACGCCTGTTGAGATTGAATCTGATCATATTAAGGGCTCATCCCCGGAACCCCAACACATCATCTCCTACCTATCATCCCAATAAAAGGTGTGCCTACCACTCTGCCAGTCCAGGACATGATACAAATGAGTGTTGGGCTCTGAAGAACAAGATCCAGGACCTGATTGATGAAGGAGCATTGGAGTTCACACAAGATGGTCAAGCTGAGTTTTTCTACCATTCCTCCAAGGCTCACCATTTGAAGTAACAAGCCCTGAGATGAAAAGACTTTTGTTCATTAGGATTTTCAAGTTGTAATTTTCTTTTGTTCAAACATTTACTCATGTTAAACGTTGTTATTTCATTAATGCATCGCATATGTCTGTTTTGAAGCAATATATTCGTATTCACTATATGCAAATTATTTTCATATTTTTTCTGATGATCAACGCTCGATTAATAATTCTAAGCCTCTTGAGGGAGGATGACGAAAACGATACCACGACAATTACAGTATGCTTTTGAACAGACCCCGCTGATGAGGTACAGGCATTGTTTCAATTCCTAAACACTGGAGTTATAAGGATGATAATCCCTTGTCAACCCCTCTGAGATTAACTGATTTCAAATAAAGTATAAAAGGAAGTGTTAAATTCGATTTCAAATTAAGAATTAAGGTTTATGTCTGATTTTGTTTTATTTACATGGATTTAGTATTTGATGATTTCAAATTTTTCAAATTTGGTGGTTACCTTTGAATCAGGTCCCTTGATTTAATTAAGAAATAAGGAATTGAGATTGATGTTGAGTTTTGTTGTGTTAAAAATTGTGATAATTCAGATTTGGTGTTAAACTTGATTTAAATTTTATGAACTAAGGTCTATGCTTGATTTGAATAGGAAATTAAGTAGTGTGATTTATGTTGGGTTTTGGTGTGTTAACAAATGTGTTAATTCAAGTTTACTATGGAAAACTACGACCATTATAATTCCAACGACGTTCGATGTCGTGATAGTGATACATCTGATGTTGAATCATACTATGCTCAGGATGATAGCAAATATGTGTCCAGTGCGTTCCAAAGTTCAAATGATGGTGATGGCGATGGTAATAGCCACGAAGATTTTGTTGAATTAGATGCAGTTATAGGTGATAGAAAGGTGAATATTAATGTCCTTACTGCTGATGAAATTCGTGCTATGGAATTCATTACAGTTGATGAAGCTAATGAATTTTAAGTATGGTAAATGTAAAGTGTTTTCCATTAGAAAATGTGATGTTAGGACAAGAGGGACTAAGGGTGGTAAAATAACAGTAATGAGTCAGTTTGTATGCAATAAACACGGTCTAAGAGAGATGAAACACTTTAGGAGGGTTGATAGGAAAAGAGAACATAGATCTATGATCTGCATTAAATGTCCCGTTAGGCTTCGTGTGCATTACAAAGCCGACAAGGATAAATATGTAGTGTCGTTTTTTGAAGAGGCTCACAACCATGAATTAACCCCAACTAGGTTTATGCACTTACACCCCATTTATCGTGAAATTTCTGAAGCATATAGAACTCAGATTGACAGTCATCGGTCACATAGAATTAGAACTTATCATATAATGGGGTACATGGTTGCTCAGAAGGGTGGATACGATCATGTTGGGTTTACAAAGAAGGATATGTATAATTATTTTGATAGAAAAATATGTGCTACTATTAAAGATGGTGAAGTTGTTGCTGCTTTAAATTATCTACATGTGAAGTCATCTATTGATCCCATGCTATATGCTAAATATGTTGTCAGCAACGATAGATGAATGAAGTGTCTTTTTTGGGTTAATGGGAGCAGTAGATCTGACTTTTTTTGTTTTGGAGATGTGGTTGTGTTCGACATGACTTACAAGAAAAACAAATACAACTACCCATTAGTTATATTTTTAGGGTGAAACCATCACTCTCAGACAATTATTTTTGCTGCCTCATTGGTGTCAAATGAAACGACAATGATGTATAAGTGGTTATTGGAGTGTTTTTTAAAGTGCATGGAAGATAAGTACCCATAAGAAGTTGTAACATAATGAGATGGGACGATGAGGAAAGCTATAAAACAAGTGTTTCCGGATGCGACACATCGTTTACGCGCTTGGCATTTGAATAAGAATGCAGATGAGAATGTAAAGAACTCATGATTTTTGCAAGGTTTTAAAAAAGTCATGTACTCTAATTTTACAAAAGATCAATTCGAAGAGTTTTGGTAAGAGCTAATTAAAGAAAATGAACTTGAAGTAAATCCTTGGGTTAAAAAAACGTACGAGAACAAGTCACTATGGGCAACTGCATATCTGCGTGAGAAGTTTTTTGGACGTATAAGAACTACGTCTGAATGTGAAGCCGTCAATGCAATTATCAAGAGTTATATCAGGAAGAAAGGCTGCATTTTTGAATTTATGCATAATTTTGAGCAGGCTTTGAGATCTTATAGAAACAATGAACTAGTTTCCAATTTTAAATCAAAGTTTACAAAACCCGTGATGACTACTCACATGGGTTTGATTGAGAGCCATGCCGCAAAAATTCATATTGTGGAGATTTTCAAAGAAGTCAAAGATGAAATAATGAAGGCTGGATCATTGATTGTTAAGGAAAAATTAGGTCGCAATAAATTTAAGACTTATAAACTTACAAAATACTATTGTGACAACTATGAAAAAGAGGTTGTGTATGATGGTGACACACTTCAATGTGAGTGTAAGTTATGGGATTCTCGTGGGATTCCATGTTCTCATATGTTTTAAGTCATGAAGGAAGAACATGTTGATCGCATTCCCACCGCTTTGATTTTGTCGCGATGGACGAAGGATGCAAAAATTCAATATTTGAACATGAATTGTAATGGTACTGTTGATTCTATATGATTGAGCAAGCTCAGTTTAGTGCATACCGCGTTTACTACTTTTTGCAAAGAAGCTTCAAAAAAGGAAGGTGTTTATGGGGAAATAATGGATGACATTATGAATTTACAAAAAAATTTTGCAGTACAGACGATCCTATTTAGGCATTAAAGTCATCTGTAGGTGATCCAAATACTGTGAAGAGCAAAGGTGCTCCAAAGAAAAAAAGAATGACACAAAAGCTATTTGGTGATGTTCTAAATGAAACAGTAGAACTCGTAATGCAAGGAATTGTTCGATAATTTCAAAACTTATATTCTATTCGTTTGAGTTAATTTGTTACTCTTTTGATAAACATAGTAGTTTCTATGGCATAATTTGCAGGATACAGAAAACACGCCATCTGAATAAAATGTTGGTATGAAGTCGTTGTCAGTAACTGATTCTTTAAGTCAAGTTGTGAAGGTATTAAATGATTTTTTATACAAGGTATGATATGTTGTATTAGTTATAACGTGTTATTATATGTATCAAAATAATAATTTATTTTTTAAAACAAAACAAGAAAGGAAAAAGAGGTCGCAATGATGAAAGTAATGTGCAAAATAAATGTTCAGAACCACTGAAATCTCGCGGTGCTAATGTGATAACGATCGCACACACGGAACTTGGAAGCACAAGCAAACCAATGCTTGTAATGTATGGACTGAAACCCGTGATGCCAGTGGTACATCAGGTGTTGCATTCAATGCACGTACAACCTGTATACCCATTCTATTCAATGAGTCTTGCGTAAAATTCAGATTCATATTTCGGTAGGCTATAACAAACGATGAACAATGGTGGTACTTGAATGAGCATTAAAGTAGCTGTAATTTGAGCATGCATGAAAAGTGATGTGTTGAAGGTGATTTTTAGTGGTATGACACATGTAAGGTTAGAATTCCTCCACATATATACGTTTTTTGTGTCATAACATAAGAGTTTTTAAGTTCAGTGGAGTTAAATCAACACTGGTACAATTTAATATAATTCAACAGTCAATCACCTAATTCTATACATAAAGTAATAATTATATTTCCAGCGTGCATTAATATTTTTTCCATGTAGAGTTAATACCATTGAATGTTATTTAGGTTAGGTGTAACTAAACTTAAAATGTTTTTTCCCATATATATACAGTACCACCAAGAGAGGAAAAAATAACATATGAAAAAAAACCTTTTTTTAAGTGAATTGTTAGGTGTTCTTCCTCTTAAGAAATTTCTGGTGGTGAATCTCAGTGCGTGACTTCAAGTGATACGTAATTATGTTTATCATTTGCTTACATATTTGCGTTTACATATTTCATCTTCAAGTTTTATTGTTTCATGATTTGCTTTGTAAATTTTATAGTTACATGTTTATCTTTTTTGAAGGATTGATGAACAATGAGCTGAGTTTTTAGGTAATTACGTTGACAATGAGGTTGAACACAATGTCGATCCCAGTGACCTTTAAAGTGATGAAGGTGAAGAAGAGATGGATGAAAATTTCGATGAACCTGTGATCGAAGAAAATGGCATTTCATTCAATTATCGTGTCGCTGTTGCTGCTGCAAGAGGCAAGAATATTTTCGTAAGCAATTTGAACCTGCTATTTTAATTGAGAGATGTAATGTAAGAGTAGTTGCAAAGAGATACAATTAGGTAGAAGAAATTTATTTAGACTTTTTCACATGGGGCCAAAATCACCATTGCAAGAGCCCTTCTTGTATTAGAAACAATCAAGTCTTGGCATTTACATCAGTTAGATGTAAGCAATGCCTTCTTACACGATGATCTGCAAGAAAAAGTTTACATGACTATTCTAAAAGGTGTTTCAAGTCCCAAAACCAATCAAGTCTGCAAGCTACTTGAATTCCTTTATGGTTTAAAATAAGAATGCAAAAAATGATATGAAATTTTTTCAAGTGACTTACTTGATCAAGGCTATAAACAATCAATGTCATATCACCTTCTATCCATCATTCACAAGAATTCATCGATCACATTTATTCTAGCCTATGTGGATGGTGTGATCCTATCGAAAAATTCAGTTGATGAATTTGATAAGATCAAGAGAATTTTGGAGTGTCGGTTCAAAATTAAAGATCTTGATCAATTGAAATATTTTTCAGAGATCAAGGTAGCTCATTTCAAAATTAGAATAACCACATGTTAAGGAAAATATTATTTTGACTTATTACATGATGCATGATTTCTTGGAGCCAAACTTGGCTAAAACACCTTTTGATTCTTTCATGAAGTTGCACCAAGACTAATCAGCACCTTTCGAAGATGTTGCAAACTACATAAGATTTGTAGAAAATCTTTTCCATCTAACCACTACAATACTTGATATTAATTTTGTCATAAATCAACACAGATAATTCCTGACCTCACATACCATTACACATTATGAGACTTCCTACAAAGTCGTAAAGTATCTTAAAAATTCACCTGGAAGAGGTTTATTATTCGGAAGAGATGCACAATTGCAATTGATTGATTTTGCAGATGCAGATTAGGCAGATTGCACTAACACCAGAAAATCTACTTTTGTTATTATTTCTCTTATGATTCATAATTGATTTCATGAAAATCTAAAAAGCAACACGTTGTGTCCAAAAGTTCTTTTAATGCTAAGTATAAGTTCTCTCATTTGCCTTTTGTGAGCTTCAATGACTTGTTTTCTTACTTGGTGAATTAGAAGTCAAATGCACTAAACCTTCAGTTTTGTATTGTGACAATTAAAATGCCATTCACATTCATGCCAACCTTATCTTCTATGAAAGAACCAATCATCTTGAGTTTGATTGCCATTTTATTCAAGAAAAACTTCAAAATGGATTGATCAAGTTACTTCCAATTTACACCAAGACTTAAATTGTTGAAGTTCTTACCAAGCCTTTACCACCTAAGACCTATCATTGTTTTATCTACAAACTCAACATGTTAGATGTCTACCAAATTTAGTTTCAAGGAGGATGCTAAACCTATAACTTGTAGCATAAATTACCACTGTGCGTTGTACCAATTTACCACTTTTGATGGGTTTTTTTTTGTCCTTTTGTAATGCTTCTTTTTGGTTAATATATGAGGTGTTATTAAAAAATAATTGCTCGACTTGGTATTGTAAGTAGTTGATATATGTTGTTAGAGTTAGTTAGGACTTGCAACTTACTATACATTGTAGCTTGTAAGTAATTCACCAATCATCAATTCGTTTCAAACAATGCAAGTTTCTTGCATTTTTCTATCTTTCTTCATGCAACGCCATGATTTGTAGTTTTTCTTGCATTTTTCTCTCTTTCTTGATGCAACACCATGATTTGTAGTTTTTCTTACATTTTTCTCTCTCTATTCATGCAACACCATGATTTGTAGTTTTTCTTGCACTTTTCTCTCTTTCTTCATGCAACTTTTGTGAATCATTCTCTATTTCTAATTCTTCACAACAACTTTTCTTTCTTATGTTTGAGCTGAAATCTATATATCCCTGCAGTAGAATGGAGGTATATTTGTTGCCGCTCTCCCCTGAAGATTAAAACATAATCAAAATCACATTTTTTTTAAGAAGATATGTTTTTAAAATGATTTTTATGAAAAATTATTTGAAATAACTTCTAATTTAAATGAATTTTTGAAATTTCAATATCAAAAAAAATTATAACAAAAGATGAAATATCTAAAATAACATTATAAGAATAATTATTTAAATCAATTTTTTATTTGAATTTCTTTAAAGAAGTCTGTAAATTTTTTTCAACAAAAATATGCAATACTATTAAGATATTTAAAAAAAAAAACTGAAACAAATGGACCCATAATTATGTGTTTATTAGTTAGCTCCCGTAGTTATTCAATATCATTGAACTTCAAATGTGTTGCATATTGTTTCATTGATAATGACCAAAAGCACCAAGTTAACTCAGTTTTTTTGTGTTAGATGCATTGTTGGTTGTTGTGACTTGTGACTGAGATGTTCGACATATACATCGACCACCTCAAATCCTTTTCCATTTTCAACAAACTTCAATACCTCACAATATATCTTTGTTCAAAGGCCTCAAAGCATTACAAAGAGCTAGTTTTGGGTGCCTGTACCATACATACTTCAAGTCTATGTAATGACCAAACAAAGTTACCTTGTACAAACAAACTTCAGTGACCGAATGTCACAAACAGCAAGACCGTCTTTATTAAATAGAACAAATTCTTAAGGTAAATCATGCGAGTAACTCGACACGTTTTATACAAGCATTTGGAGGTCACAAACAGCTTGAGCCGGCAGGACAAATATCTTCCAAACTGAAAGATTGAATAGACAAACTTATCCGTAACTCAACTTGTTCATAAGTCATAATCAAACAAATGTTGTATGTTTTCACTAACAAATTACCTTTTCCCCAAGCTTTCAATGATGTCACTAGTGACAGTTGATCTTTTCTTATTTGAGAAAGCAATGGAAGCTGCTTTTCTCATTATAGCAGAGCCCCCAATGGATCCCAACACAGCTGGATTTTTACAACTGCCACAAAAATTTAATTATTAAGGATATAATTCATATCCAAGATAATACAACAAAGCCAAGTAAAATAATAAAACGTTATAACCTGAGAATCGAATCTTGACCGGAAGCTTCAATATATTGGCGTGCCCATGACAAAAAGACAGCAACACTGTTTCAATTAAAATAAGTAAATGTTTACTAAAAAACTCAATCCCAACATCATAAATGTATAACTGAAACTAAAAAAGTTCAGTAAACAATTGTTTCATCTAAGGATCAAACTCGCACAACACATGTTTAAAAACGAATATCATCTAAAAAACAATTACTTGCCTTCCCGAAAGGATATCACCTTGGCCACCACAGCGTCTAGGAGAACCATAGATGCTTACTGATTTCACTGCACAATTAACAGCCACTATCAAACGGTTTCCAAACATCTATAGATCACTTTAATGTACATACATACCCCATAAGCCTTGTGCCATGTGCATTGTTGTCATGCTTCATTGATAGTTTTCCATAAAACTGTCGATACCATAATATATTTTCAAGCACTCATGCTTCATCGAGCATTGTTGTGTATTCCACATAGACTAAGATTTTGAGTAAAAGAAGAAACAATTGTTTTTTTTTAGTTTTACATAATTGCTCATTTGGTTATAAATATAAAAGATTCCCCTGTTAACATTCTTTATCGCCTATTGTAACAGTTTTTCATCTAAAGCTATTCAAAGTAGATTCTCAACAAGGCAGGAAGGAAAACTGAGATTTATATTTGTTGAAGATCTATTCTACCTGTGTCGCCATCGCTTATTATATCAGATTTTCCTTTTTTTAGAATAGTAACACCGCCAATTCTGCAAAAAGCAATCCACAACTGTCATTAAACTTCTGAACTTAGTACCAGATACATGTGGTTACAGTAAGAAACCGACTATCTTAAGCCGAAACGTGTCTCAGAAGTGGCAAACAAGAAATAGAAAAGGATCAGTCGACTGTAAGATATTCTAACATCAGAACCAGTGACCTAAAAGAGCTTACTGTTTGGCAAGAAACAGCACTTGCTGAGTGGCATCTTTGTCATTTACTTCAGAATTCAGTACTTTCTGTACAAGTCGCTTATATTCATTGACATTTGGGGTTAGAACAGCTAAGTCATAGCCCCTAACAAGTTCAAGATGATTTGTGACAAGAAAAAGTCCATCCTGAAATATGCCGAAACAGTAAGTAACATGCACATGTTAATCTGACTACAAAGTGTCCAAATCTCAACAAACACACATACCCCATCTACCACAATTGGGATGTTTGACTGTCTTGCATGTCTTATGATTTCACTCACACAGTCCTGATAACATTTAAATTCCCAAAGCAAACACAAGAAGTTAAAGATAATTAAGCCATTTCCAAGTGTATATTGAAACTGGAATCGAGTGATTCAAGCGAAGCTTAAGAAGAGAGAACATACAAGAAGAAACGGGTCTCTTCCAAGGCCTGGACCAATGACCAGACAGTCAAATCTTTCTAACCATTTATCAACTTCGGCAAGAACCTTGCTTGTTATGATTTTCTTGTCCTCGTCCCTAAAATTAGTCTCTCTCGTTAAAAACAACATTCACTAGGTATTTTTTGAATGTGCAGTTAGAAAGATGATGATTGCATCAAAGTATTACCTGACATTATACGATTCTTCCAAAACAGGATGAACAATCAACTCGGGACTGTAGCTTTTAATGACAGGAGAAGCGTCTTTTGTACAGAATACATGGGACAAATCTGCACCCTGCAAGAATGGAAAACTTACTAGTCTGACAATGATTAGAAGAATAGATAGTAGATACAGAAACTTTGAAAATGAGTAAAAAGAAAAAGTACAGATACTAACAATTTTTAAGGCTGAAATAGCCGCAAAATAAGGGGCACCTGTGTATTCGCGGCATCCTCCAATAACAGCTATGTTCCCTGATTCGAAACAGAATTCAGAAAACAAATAAGACACTTCTTATTCTCTATTCAGAGAAACACAAACATACATATAAGTAATACAAAGTTATTCATCGAGATATAATTGACAACATATTACTTTCTTAATTTTCTCCGATGAACACAATTGACCGCAGCCTTGGTAGGGCTCCAATTGCCAAATAAAATGAATTAGGAAAAAAATGATGCCACAGATTTGCAAGAATCATGTACCTGCCTGTCCTTTATGTCTACTTTGATCTAGGGCAGGAGTAATTGCTCTAACAATGTCCTCTGCATCAAACAAAACCTGACCCGACTGCATTTTTCCAGAACCAGAATTCCTGCAATGATCAATGCTACCTCCAAAAGACCTTATCAAGAACCGCTGTCTTCTGAAAAGAGGTGAAGAAGCCAGTAGCATACAGTTGTTTGCACAACACAAGAAAGGTAACTGAGAATTCATGATCACATGTTTCATTAACATGACCAAACCCTATTCATAACCCAAACATGAATTCAATATCTCAGAAACACAAAACCCCCCATCTCTTATACCAATTTTCATAACAAATTCGTCATAACTTTTCAGTGAATTGAAGCGAATAAAATGAATAAACAAAGAAAAAATCTTACCAGATAGTACTAAGCTCAGAAACTCAGCAAAAGTGAGAAAGTTTCTCTCTTTTCGCTATTTGTATGAGTCATGAGTCATGAGTCATGTCCACGTGTTCCAATATCGAAAATGCCCAAAACGACATGTCGTTTGCTACTTTTATTTTTGTGCCGTTTCTAGCCCTATACAAAATTCCGAAATGATAACCCATTTACATTAACACTCACAAACCGTTTAATTTGAGTTTGAGTATTTGTTGTTGAATTGAAAAGGGTATGGCTCGAATTCCGAGATCGGATATGAAGATGAACGCGATTAGGTCAGGGATAGTTGTGTTAGGAGCAGTAGCGTTTGGTTACTTGAGTCTTCGAATTGGTTTCAAATCTTATCTGGAGAAAGCTAAAGCTGATCAGCAGTATCAGCATCAGCATCAAAATGAGCTTCAACAAGCTCAATCTGATTCTGATTCTGACCCATCTTCATCTTTCAAGGAACCTATCTCTTTCCCTGAACGTAGTTCATAAAAATCATTGCTTTGTTTTGATTGTGTTTTGATCTTTAACTGCTTTATTTCATTTTGTGGTCATATCATATATACACATTGGATGGGGTTGGATTGTTCTCTTGCTTTAAATCATGTATTTTCAATGATGTTAAGTATTGTGCACACCAACTATTTGTTTATATGCATCTTTGTTGATGTTACTCTCATGACTTTGATATGTTTGCTTATGCTTTGTATGCTCTGAGGTAGAATTAATTATGCTTTTTAGAATTAGTTATATTTGAAGGTAAAATTTGTAGTTTTTGTGTTTAAATCAATTTACATTCAACTTATGAACATATATCGTTGGTGAACCATCTTTCTCGAAAAGGGTTTCTACGAGTTCTCGTTCTCATCTCTTGGAGATGTCAAAAGGGTTAGGTCGATAGTTTCATGGAATATGAATCCTAACTCTTTGAAACCTTTCCCATGGACAAGAGATTTTAACTCTAACCCGCAAAGAATCTCAATTGCGTTTGGATCAGGCTTTTTGGCACTGCTCAAGAGTACCAGAGGCCAAACATCTTATATGCTATTACTAGTAGCATAAGAACTCCAATATGCACTTATGTCATGTGTATAAACCTATTTTTGATAGAACATTGGCCTTTTTGTTAGAGACTTGGTGGATATAGATTTATCCTTGCCAAGTACCTAGAATATTTTGCTTAAAACGCAGGCCTATGTCTTCTTCGTGGACATAAAAATATGAAAATATCTATCTTTGTTGTACTCATTGCAATATGATGATCACCTAATGTAAGCTTCTAAAAAGGTGAATCCTAACCTCATAGTCAAGGAGCACAAAGGAAGATATGTGAGCTCTAAAATCTATGTTCAACTCATAGATGGTAATCTTGAAAAAGTTTTGTTAGAGAAAGTGGTGGATAGGATTAAAAAAAGCAAATGAGAAGGAATATGAACAAACAAATGAGAGTTTGATGTAAGCCTTGGTCAAAGACAAGCAAATAATATCACGTGCTAGTAAGCAAATAATATCACGTGCTAGTAAGGACCCTTAATTCAGGGTCGACTTATAAAAACAGATTAAAATAAGTGATTATTCAATAAGTTAAAACCGCTAATCCTACTGATTCAGATTCAGATTTATCATCAGTTATGATAACACCAACTCTTAAACGGTTTCGATCATATTCGATTATGAGATCAATCAGACAAGTGTTTATCAAAATCATACGAATTATGTTTTTGTTATCAGATTAAGCAAACATTTAAGAATATGACGAGTTAGTGAATTAAGCAAACGATAACACGCAATTAAATTTAGGAACATGCATACAATCAAATTTAATCAATTCTATCCTATGAACATCAATTGAATTAAACAAACAATTGCAATTAAATTAAGCAAATGATTTCATAGAGAAGGATTGAACAAAAATCAAATTTAAATTGATATTAGAATAACTTCAAAATAATGGAACTCATAAACAACATAATTGCCTTTGGAAATTAGTTATCCATAGCAAGCGTACAAAGCAAAATAAAATAAAATAAGGGTTTCCACTTACAAAACGAACCGGGTCAAAAAATACAAACCAAACCCATAAATTTGACCCAAAATAAATTGTTTCTAATGCTGCAACTTAAACGAATTATTCAAGCCTGCTACAGTTCGGATTAGCTTCTGGCTCCAACATAAAAGTTGTAGCTCATTCTCTTAGCTTTCCAACGCATACTAGAACGCCTCGATCCGATTTATGTAGCTCCAGTTATGAATTTTTCAATGAAAGCTGTCAATACTGAAAGTTAAATACGAAAATCAAATTAAACAAAAAATAAACTAAATTAGAAATACATTCTAAAACATAAAAATAAACAAAGTAAAACATAGAAATGCTTAAGTACAAACATGGAAGAATGTGCATCAAAATGCAATGATCAAATTCCTCCATACTTGAACTTTTGCACTTTGAGCAAAATAAAATAAAAAATTCAAGAAACACAACAACATCATCAGTTACTCATTCCAAGCTACAAACTCTTCTTCGGTTAAGACTGCATCAATAGGCATTAATCTTGCACACTAAGGATATCGTAGGAACACTATTATGCAATTGTGTAGTCATAAGCCTCCTGAATATACAATCCAATTCGAATCATGTTATTATGCCAAAGCCTAACTTACTCATCCTTCTTTTTACTCTCTTTCATTCTGGCGGAATCACATTAAGCCCGTTTTCTCCATACACTCATAGTAAGGCGACCTGTTAGCGACTTTGATCCTTTTTGCATGGGGTTCTGGTACATGAGTGGTATAATCTTTTGCTTACCTAATTGTAGTTGTGGGGATCGAACTGTAATCTACTCTATCAAGTTCAGCACCAGAAACCTCTGAACCAACCAATAACTGGTCTGATAATCAAGTTTTGTAGGTTCCACAATCGCTGGGTTAAGTGACTGGGTGAGGGTTACCAAACTTAGAAGACACATTCCCTATTTTTTTAAAAATAAAAATCTGGATCACTCACTTATATTCATCAGCTTCTCTATGTAGAGCATGTGTGAGATGGTGCTGACTGCTAAGATAAACTACTCAAGAGCTGTTAGAGAATGAGAATTCAAGGCTATGTCATAATGATTATTCAAATTAATTTCCATATGCAGGATACTTACGGTGTTAAGACGATATCGATCTTGTGAATTTTTCCCAAGTCTCCGCAACTAACCTTAGATTAATCTTATAACCCAAAACTTACAAAAAGATATATTTTTTTATAATAACTGAATACAAAAAAAAACAACAAACAAAAGCAAAGAAAATAAATGATTCCCTCCATCACACTTAAAACATGCATTGTACTCAATGGAAAGGACATAACTATTAAATAAGAGTGAGAGAAAAGAAAGAGCACACCCGAATAGTCAAGGAGGATAAGTGATCACATTAGCAGTCTTTTCTAAAGAGAGATCTTCTATATTCTCTTATTCCAAAGTGGGGATCTCATGGAGTAGTTTTAGATAATGTGCATTGAACTTGAAATTTTTATTAGTGGCTCCGCCTTTTATTCAATGATCAAAGAAGAATATTTGATAAGTAAAAGTGTCGAATGGGCACGTGATCTTCTTTTCCACAACACTAAAGATCAAAAGATTGAGGGGTTGCCTCACTACTTTTGTTTCATCTTCAAGTGAGATCTTATGCATACACATGGACGGACTAATCTCATAAATATCATCCAAGATCTATCCAATTCCTTTCTTATGCTTCTTCAAAACCTTCAAAAATTTACTTTCTTGATTAAAATAAAGTTTAGAAGAAATTATAACCAGAAGTTTTCCATTCATCTCTAAATAAGCATATTTAAGATTTTCAATAATTGGTTTCAGCTCTCCGGAAGGTGGTTGTTTGATGGATGGTTTGTTTCGGGCAGCCGGGGTGTCGAGAGCTTCATATACATGAACAACTTCATTTGCAATCTCATGTGCATTAAGAATATCAACTTGCAAGGCAACCTCAACTTCAGCACAAACAGAGCAAATTTTAGTGTCAGTACAAACATCACAAGAGTAAACATCATCAAAATCAGACAATGATGGAAAATCAACTGCAAATAAATCAATACAAGTATCATCAATAGTCTCAAAAAGCAACTCTATTGGAAAAATATAATTCTCTTCCAAGGGTTGTTGGTTAGATCCTTGAGCTTGTTGCATGGCATTCATCGAAGAGGTAAGTTGTTTAATTTGTATTTGCAAAGTCTGGAGAGTAGAATCCATTTGTTGTTGAAACTAGAGATTAATTACAACCATTTATTTGAAAATATCCTCTAGTGAAGGCCCAAAAGATGCATAGCACACAACTTGAAATTCCTTCAGATGTTTATGCGGATCCTCACCTGCAAGACCATTAAACTTTGGCAACAAGTGTATTAAATCATATTTCAATTCAGAAGATGCATCGGCTGCAGGATAGCCAATCCATACACCATTATAGTTTACATCATGGACAACCAACTTCCTCAAAGTTCTTTGTTCAACCATGTTATCAATAAACACAGAAATACCAACTATGTCCCAAACAAACAGAAAAAATAGAAAGAAGGAAAACGATTAAAATAAATTCAGAAAATACAAAAATATCAAATTTAATCTAATGAACTGAAATAAGAATTTTGAGAATTTTTTTGAATTTTTTCGACACTGTGAAAACAGTAAAAATTTAATTAAAAATAGAAAAAAGACGAATTTTCGATTTTGAGGGTCAAGATCCTTTAGAATAAATTCGGAGCAAATTGAAACAGTAACTTCCAAACTTACCTGATAGGCTGAAAAACTGTACTGCAAACAAAATTGCAATCCTGAAAATCAACAAACACAACAAAAAAATAAGAAAAAATAGCAAGAACATTATATCTATGACTATAATATCGGTTAATAACAACAAGAATCCTCGGCAACAACGCCAATTTGATCCGCTGTCGCGCACAAATAAAAAACGAGTAAATTCTAAATGTAGTTACGGTAAGGACAACTCGAGTATCGTATTGCGGGGATTCTTGTATTATTATTAACTAATAGGAATCGAATTGGAAGGGGGGTTTAGGATTGACTTATAAAAACAAATTAAAATAAGTGATTATTCAATAAGCTAAAACGGCCAATCCTAGTGATTCGGTTCCGAATTATCATTGGTTATGATAACACAAATTCCTAAATGATTTCAATCATATTCGATTATGAGATCTATCAGACAAGCGCTTATTAAAATCATACGAATTATATTCCTCTTACATGATTAAGCAAACAGTTAAGAATATGACGAGTTAGCAAATTAAGCAAATGATAACACACAATTAAATTTAGGAATATGCATACAATCGAATTTAATCTATTTTATCCTATGAACAGTAATTGAATTAAGCAAACAATTGAAATCAAATTAAGAAAATGATTTCATAGAGAAGGATTGAACATAAATCAAATTTAAATTGGTATTAGAATAACTTCAAAGTAATG